GTCCTAAAACATGAAACAGGTCCCTCATGTTCCTTAATGCTTATAATGCATGATTTCCCATTAACAGGGCACATCCACTCTCTTCTACCTGATTGGTTGGGAGACAATTTAACGAACAAGTACATTAACTGTGACCAAAGAGATTCACCTTCACCGTTCATTTCTTCTTCTTCTTGGTTGGAGGACTGCCTTCTTAACATGGCTAAGTGAACGGAGAGTTCTGATCTGGGGAAGGTGACGTAGTTCACTGGGCGATACAACGAGCTGAGATCTGAGGCAGCTTTGAATCCAACCTAAAACCAGAGGAGAGCTACCAGTTAGAACGCGCATTTCATATTTCTTGACAGTAAGAGCAATGAAGCTGCAGACAACAGATAGGAATCTTTTATATAACTCGGGAGTCACGTGTCATGTGAAAGATTTGTTCAAATTGAAGGAATCACTCGCGAACGACACATCACTAGATAAACACTAAATAAAAGTACAGATACTCCACTTACCGCCACAAGCTTTCGCAGGGTTGCCGTGGAAGTTTCGAGAACGACAGCTCTGTCCGCCAGGGCAGACATGTTTTGTCGTATGATAAAGTTATTCCTTTGTTGGCAATTGAAAACAAAGAGGTGGCTGAGATATGGTCAAGGATTTCCTTCGCTTTCAGAGTCCACAGAGGCTCACTGTTTGGCCTCGACCTCCATTTCTTATTCAGCACCAAATATCATCCAACGACAAGCTAGAGTCCGTTATCTGGCCACAATAACATAGTGGGAATCCGCGCGCGCACGCACACCCACGCAATGTTTCAGTTACTGCAGATTGTTTTTCCACGCATTTAATTTTTTTAACTCAGTAATGGGTTATTTTGAAATGTAACAAGGTAAAATGCTTGAGGCAAAATGTATTTTAGTGAAAGTAAAATGACAAATTATTTTAAAAATACTTACATATTACTCACAAAAACTACTCAATTACCATAACGTGAGTAAATGTATTTCGTTATTTTCCACCTCATCTCTGATACAATAACAATATAAAACGACAGTAAAGTAACGCGTGAAATGTTTATTGACAGGTTAACAACAGCAGTTGTACATTTTCACATATACACTAGTTATTGGATACCAGTGATTTTAACTTCAAGCTCATGGTGGTCAGTAGTAGTACTGCAGTTGGAACTTTACTTTATGGATGGTATGAAAAATTGAGAATTAATATTTATTACTTAAATTTAATTGTGCACTGTGTAAAAATGTGATACTTGTAAGTGCAAATTGAGCTTGTCAAAAGTGGGATGTATTCATACACAGTGCACAGATATATTGCAAACACTATTCTGTATTTTGTCCTTTTCCCTGTTAAAGGTAACCATATTAGCTGAGTAAAGGACCGTTAACAAGTGTTGAAGTTCCACTGCAGTGTTCACACCAAGAATGGGTCTGCAGTCTGGAACTGGGCCGTACCATGTGATTAATACCAGTCTGCCAGTACCAGTGGTCTGCAGGGAGTCAGGGAGCAGCTGCACGGCTGTTGACACAGATATTTGTCTCAGCTTTTAACCTGGACACAGTGTTTCAGCTGCTGCAGAGACCCTCAGTGTGGTCAGACACACATCAGCAGGCTGGATGCTGTGTCAGACTCTGTGCTAATGACTCACCTCCTGCTTCTCCTCCTCGACTTCCTCCTCAAACAAATGTTGCCTTCAATTTACTCTGGTTGGTCTGTCCTTTGTCCTGACTCTGCTTCAACTGTTTCTTGGCTTTAACCATGGAGGGCAGGTCTGAAGTCTGGTACACCGCCGCCCTCATCCTGCTGCTGCGTTGACGCAGCTCTAAGGCCACTCCCTCCCACTTCCTGTCCAGGGCCAAGCCCTGAGAGCCCCGTGGTTCTCGAAACCCTCGGCGTTTCGGTTTAGTTTCTTCTGGGTCAGAGTTTGTCCCAATTTTGTCCACATCCAAAGCACGATTTGGGGTCGCATGCGTTGAGCGGGAGGAAGGTGATTTGGATTTTCGACGTGAGCGTGGAGGAGGCCGTGGAGGGGGAGGAGGGGGGGACACAGAGGGAGGTGGGTGGTTGGAAGATGCTGTTCTTCTGCTGGGTATTTTAAAACCTCCTCCTCTTTCTCTGCTTCTCCATCTGTCTCTGTCTTTGCCTGAGAAAGAAGAAAAATATGAAGACGGATAGAGAACAGAAGAAACGACCGTCCACAAACACAACAAACGGTTAACATGATGGAAGAAGATTCAAACACACATTCTAATAAGACAAAAAAGGACAAAATGGTTCCAGACCCTGGGAAAATATTCTGAAAAGATTTTACTAATTTAGGTACAGTATATAGTATAGTGTAGTGTACACGTGACAGATACTGTATTCCCATGACAGTCAGCGCTGATGGGAAAGTGAATTAAACTCTCCTCAATGTGTGTATGTGCTGAGAGTGGTCACTGTGGACGCAGAATGCTGCCATCTGCTGGCTCAGATAAAGACACGTCTCTTTGTCAGTGAACCACCGCTGCTCCACCCTCACCCTCTGAGTGTCTTTACGCTAAATAGCTGTTTCTCCTTACCCTCAGCTGCAGCCAATCAGCTGTGATCTTAGAATTAGAAAAGACATAATTCCACTGCCAAATTAAAGAACTTATCAAACACCACGTAAAACCTTATTTTATTTTACGATCATTTAATGCAACACCCCTGCGGACTAGGGTCGTGAACCCCGGGGACCAGCAGTGGAGTTCTTACGTCCTCACGTGTGAGACGTGTTTCTGTGACAGGCTGTTAAAAAGCCATATGCAGAAAATAAAAGTCGAACTTTCCGAAGCTGATGGTTTTGCTCAAGTTATTTATACAACAAGAGAGTACACCGACGCTACAGAAGCAGCGGAGTTTTAGACTCATTCTGACTCCGTCTCTGGCCATGTGGTGGCATGTTTGTCGAGCACCATGGACGTCAGTCAACCTCAAAGCAGTTTAATCCAAATATATATAAACTTGATTATACTGGAGTAGAAATGCACTAAATTGCCTAAAACAGTTAGCTGAGCCTATTTTATGCTTAAGATTCAGATAAAATGTTTTTGAAACATCTACACTTGTTTAACATGAAATCTATGCAATTATTTTCCAAAAAAAA